ATCCCCACATTGATGGCCCATGTTCATCTTTGAGTCAATAATGACTCCAAGATCCTTTTCTGCCTCTGTGCTGGTGACAGGGGAGTTCCCCAGCCTGTAGGTATGCTGCTGGTTCTTCCTCCCCAGGTGCAGTACCTTGCATTTGTCAGTGTTGAAACCCATCCTATTCTCATCCGCCCACCTCTGTAACCTGTCCAGATCTGATTGCAGCCTGCCCCTCCCCTCTAGAGTGCCTACCTCCCCCCACATCTTAGTGTCATCTGTGAATTTGAACAAGGAGCTATTCACCTTCTTGTCCAAGTCGCTGATGACAATGTTGAACAGTGCGGGCCCGAGGACCGAGCCCTGCGGGACCCCACTGCCCACATCCCTCCAGGTCGAGAAAGACCCATCCACCACCACTTTCTGGGTACAGCCCTCCAGCCAATTGGTGACCCATTTGACTGTGGAGGTGTCGACACCACAGTCACCTAATTTTTTAATGAGAATGGGGTGAGAGACAGTGTCGAAGGCTTTTCTAAAGTCCAGAAAGACTACATCCACTGCGATGCCTGCGACCAGGGATTTAGTGACCTTATCACAGAAGGCCACCAGGTTGGTCTGACAGGACCTGCCTCTGATGAACCCATGTTGGTTGCCGCTAAGCCTACACTCCCCTGCTGGTCCCTCACAGATGTGCTCCTGGATAATTTTCTTGAAGAGCTTCCCCAGGACCGAGGTAAGACTAACAGGCCTATAATTTCCTGGGTCCTCCCTCCTCCCTTTTTTGAAAATGGGGACCACATTGGCCCTCTTCCAGTCCTCTGGCATCTTGCCAGAATACCATGAGTGCTCGTAAAGCTGTGCCAGGGGACCAGCAATGACCTCTGCTAATTCTGTCAGCACTCTGGGGTGGAGGTCATCAGGACCTGCTGATTTGGACATGTCTAGTCCCATCAGGAGGTCCCTGACTAGATCCACTCCAACCCGGGCCTGGCTGCACCTCCCCTGGGACCGTCAGGGACCATGAAGGGGGGAGGACCTAGTCCCTGCTCAGAAAAATGGAGGCAAAGAAGTTGTTAAATGACTCAGGTGAGGATGCATTAGGAAGCCATCATCCAGGGGTGCATGATGAAGTGCAATGGGAAGGTGCTGCCAGGTGGTCCAGCCTTCTTGGAAGGTGCTTTGCAGTAGGAGAGTGGGGACAGTGTTGGATTTAGATGACTTATTTGGCAACACTGGCAGGCACTTCCTTTCACTGAGCCTTCTCTTTACAGTTGATGCTGAAACTCTACTTTCAAAAAGCCATCTGGGATCATGCCCTTCTCTGTGTCTAAGGTAAGGGTCCTAATCACTAAACTATGCAGTCATACTCCTTATTGTACTCTCTGTCCCCATGCAAAATGGAGCCACTTCAACAGGAGTTAGAGAGTCCCTAGGCTGCCTTATTATTGCCTGCTGCTTAGAGCACTTTTTGGGGAGATGGGAGATTTGGTTGTAAACACACTCAAAGCCAGGAGGAAATTGAGCCTATATCCTGGCTGACTATTCTAACCACTAAATTATTAGATACATGAAGAGAGCAACCACTTTTCCTCCTCTGTCAGTGTTTTGAAGGAAAGCCACAGCTGCACTGTTTTGAGAAACCTTGGCAGATCAGTCCCCTTCAGGTGAAGGAATGTCAATCTCAATGGTACTTAGGTATGAGAAAGACACCAATCTTTTCATCTGTGTCAAGATGGAGGTGCTTCTGTGCATGTCTATAAACAGAACCTGCACTGACTTGGGTTCATGTAAAAAGTGAGGCAGTTTAAAGACTTTGGAAACCTCTGGAGTTTAGTGGTGACTGAACTACAGTTTTGAAGATCTAAATGTTGGATTGGGATACAAAAATTCTGCTTAAATTCTAGTTTAAACACCAAAGGCTGTGCATAAATTAATTTAATTATGTATTCATTTTCAAAGAGAAATAGAGGAGACTAGAGTGCAAAGCTTTTGAGGGGATAGCCAATGACGTGTAAAAAACAATAATATCAAGATTTAAATTTCTATATCCATATCTGCTTTTAGCATTGGAAGGACATAACACACTTGAAATTCTCTTCACTGTGTAGGTAGAGGGGTAGGGTGGAAATTCATGAACAGAATCTCAATATGAAAACAAGCTGGTGTGGAATCACATTCTCTTGACAATCATTCAACTTCCCAATCCACTACAAAGCAGCATTTGGCTTTTTAAAATGACCCAGAAACAGAACATGTTTTGGAAAATACTCAGGGTATCCTTGATAATCTGTTTCCGTGTCCCCTTTGGCGAGATGGTGAGGAATGGCACAGAGCATTCTTCGTGCCGATGGATTCAGTTAATTCTGGTACCCAACAAAATTATTGGAGTTTTCCCAGTAAAGACACATTTACATGTGCAATTTGTAGTTGCGTACAGTATGAAAGTGAAATGTTTCACTTCTTTTCTTCTACATGAAATTCGTTTCTGTGAATGACATGGAAATATAAATAACTACTTTATCTTAAGAAATCATGGCCTGAGTTTATTTGCGTTCTCTTTGTGGCTACCAATGGCCTTGAGACCATAGATGTCTGGGTGCAACTGGCTGGATTAAGTTGTATTAATTTCTGTTGGACAATGACATGAGAACAAGGGAAATGCCATCCATCCCGATAATCCTCTTTTATGCATTTTACACATAATTTGTCAGGAATGGAAAATGAAGCCTAAGATGTGCAAAAGCTAAGAGTATGTCAGAGTATATCAGCAGGATTTAAATCCACTCCATCAACATAACTTTCAATCATGAGGCATGCATCCCTGTCAGTTCTAAGCCAGAAAGTGTAAGTAAAAAAAAAAAAAAAAGTGCCAGCTCAATCCACTCCTCAGTCTAAGCTTTGAATAGCCAGCAGACCAGCTCCCAATGATTTTACACAATTGCGTGGCTCATACTGGGGAAGAATCATAGATAAATGTTTCCGATTGTACACTTCATTATAACTTTTCAATGCATCTTTAACTTCTTGGTGCTAGCATTCACTATGGGCATTTGATTGCAGGAAGGAGCCGTGTGCAGATAAATCCTGTTTCCTGGTGTAAAGATGTTAAATATAATTAGAACCTATTCATGGGAGCCAACAAAACAAATCTGTTTCCAGATGTTGGAACTTTCACATCATTGCTGGGAAACTTTTAAAAAAAGGGCTGAAGAATTTCTTACATCTTTCAAAGTAGCTTTTTATCAGCCTTTGACTACTAAACCTCAGTTCTGTCTGAGTAATCTTTGCTTAATCATATCTAACTTTTATGGCTCCCTCCTGAATTCCAAAACGATGAGCAATTAGGCAAGGAGAAATGGAAAAAAATGAGTTTAGAACATTTGATGATAGTTCTGTACCCCTCAACCCTGTGTTCTAATTATAAAACACATGAGCTAGAGAAATATTGTGGCATTAAAAAATGGAAACAGGATTTAAAAAAATATTAATGAAGGTCTGAAAACATATTTTAAAATGTAGGTTGTATAAGCTGTCAATCCCTATATATTGACAGGTCTGGTGTAATGTCTATTTTAGATTTTATGTATATGAATTTGCATGAGTATGAGCACTGTTAGGTACATTGCCTTAGAGTTCTCCTTCTGTATGGTGGATGACTTGAATAATAAGGGGCGACAAGCTTAAGGAGACGGGGCGCAGGTGGTAGTCTCCTCTCTTCTTCTGCTGAGTAGGCGGGGATGGTGACACGAGGCCTGCATTGGCGAGGTCAACCGGCGCTTATGTAGTTGGTGCCGCCAGGCAGGCCTTGGGTTCCTAGATAATGACCCATGCTTTAGGGCGGGGGACTTGCTGGGGTGGGATGGGCTTCACCTCTCTCCTAAAGGCAAGTGTGTCTCCTCTTCCAGGTTGACTGATCTTGTACAGTGAGCTTTAAACTAGCCTCGCCGGGGGAGGGGTCCGCAGGAAGACGAGGAGACACCACTTGAGCAAGACAGGTGACAAATGCAAGGAGTGCCCAGGTAAGAAACAGGGGTCCAGACATTCTCTCAAATCAGGGGGTGGCACACGCAGCTAGGCAAGGCCTTAAATGCCTATATACCAATGCTCATAGTTTGGGGAATAAACAGGAGGAACTTGCCCTCAGAATAGCCAGTTCAGACCCAGACATAATAGGGCTAACAGAAACGTGGTGGGATTCATCCCACAACTGGGCAGTTAGCATTAGGGGCTATAGGCTTTACAGGCGGGATAGAGGAGGAAGGAAATGTGGGCATGTGGCGCTCTATGTCAAGGAGCAATATGCATCCTCTGACAGCAGAATGGGGTCAGAGGACGGGCAAGCTGAAGTGCTATGGGTCAAGATACAAGGGAGCCGTGGGGAGAGGGATCTAATGGTGGGGGTCTACTACA